ACCGATGGTCGAGGGGTTCACCCAATAGCCAGAAAGCGAAAGAGAAGGGGAGTGTTTAGAAGAGGCCTTAGAAGTTCCCTGGGTCGATCTTTTATGGGGAGGAGAGGTAGGAATGGTCGAGGAAGGAGGAGAGGTAACTTCAGGTTCATCTAATTCACCGATGATAGGCCGGCGACGGCGGAGAGGGGCGTTGTCCATAGTATCGCCGGAGTTGGGGGAGGAACTTCGAGCTGTGAAAACACGGGTAGGAATTGTGTCGTCTGGACGAAGAATGGAGATGGCGACGGCTTCAAGAGCGGAGGGCAATATTTCGACTGAATCGGAGGAGGACCCAGAGTCTGAAAAAGCAAAAACAAAGAAAACAATATCAAAGGGAAGCCGGTGTGAAGAAATGGGGGAGAAGGAAGATTAGGGTTTTTGGCAAAGGCGATTCAAAGACTAGAAAGAATATTTAAGAGGTGCAGAGACAGAGACTTCGAAAATTTGCAGAGGAAAAGCAAAATCCCCGATACCCAGTCGACAGACAAAAGTTCTCAAGACGCAGATTCAACACAAGATACACCAACTCAAATTAATTCAGGCAAGCAAGTCGAGAACACTCAATACCGAAATTTAAGAACATACAAAACATGATTACAGAGAGTATCAATTCAAAAGTGAAAGGACTTACTCATAACCAAGGACGGACGGGAGACGAAGTTCGGAAAATGTGAGAAGAATCGCCGGAAGAGCAAGGGTTTTCTTGCAGTAAGAAATTCAAGCGCAGAAGAATTTGAGAGCGGTGAAGGTGGAAAAAGTCTGAAAACTCGCTAAGTGTCAAATTTATACTTGGGAGAGTTCAGAGGGTAAAAAGAGATGAAGACCGTTGGATCAAAGCAAGATCGTATGGTGGACAGTGTTAAATTGCACGGTATTCAAAGCGGGCGCGTTATGCGAAGAGGCGTCATTATTAAAACGCCAGATAAATGCCTGACAGGCAGGACACGTGGAGACAAAGTGGGGGTGCGGGAAAAGCGTGTGTCAGAAGACTTTGTCCCTGGCAATTAATGAAAAATTATTTGAAAGCGTGAGCGGGAAACCCATCAGCTGATCGATACTTGATGACAAGCCATCCCGAAGGTCGATAAACACGAATCCACTCTTAGATCGAGTCATTCAGACTCGACCAGAGTGGGGGGGGGGGACTAGATAATATATGATATTATATACACGAGGTTTAACCGGTCTACTCCGCCGGTCGAGAAGATCGAACCAAGGGGAAGTCGAGCCAAAAGGAGGGAGGATCGAGCAACCCATCGCTTGATCAAGATACACTATCGAGCAACCCATCGCTCGACCAGGACTCATCATCGAGCAACTCCTTGCTCGACCAGACACACTATCGAGCAACCCATCGCTCGACCAGATACACTATCGGGCAGCCCATCGCTCGACCAGGACTCATTATCGAGCACAGTCACAGGCGCGTGTGAGCTCCTCCAACCGAATCTCAAGGGAATATTTGTCCCATGTGCAGGAGGGACACGTGTCAAGAATACATTGGTGGGCATCGGTAACCGCCCCTGACAACTCCCAGTGCTCCGCGCAACCTCTGACATGCGCGCGGTGTGTCAGAGTACGGACGGGCAGCTTGGGCAGCCAGCTCACCTTAGCCGGGCAGCTATTAGGGCAGGTATCTCACCCCTATATAAAGGGGGTGAGCCTCTTTTCTTGTACAACATTCTATTCACTCATTATCTCCAGTATACTCATACACATACTGACTTAAGCATCGGAGGCTCTTCACCGGACACAACCACCGGTGTGAGAGTTACTTGCAGGTTTCCGGCGTTCTACCGGCGAGGCTAAAGCTCAACCCGTTCTAAACCGGGCCAGGACGCTCACACTTGCATTAGTCGGTGACGGAAAGAAGAGGAATTCCAGGAAGAAGCAAGTTGTGATTTGCTGGACGTGTGGACAATCTGGGCACGTGAAAAGAAATTGTCCGAAAGGAGGAGCAGGTTCTGCAAAAAGCTCCAAGTCGGTAAATGGAGATACCGAAGAAGCTACTTTTGTCTCTCTCTCCATGGATGAGTTTTGTTAAGAGAGAAAGGGGAGTCCTTATGACATGTCGCTAAGTGTCATGAAAGAGGACGTGTTACAATTAGTGGGTCCACAGTTTACACACGGGCATTGGTTTGGCGGTGATGCAAAGTGTGTGGTGGAAAAAACGTGTCGAGGGCTGATGAACTTTCAGGAAAGCCAAACGTGGAAGTTGCACCATAGATTTCAGCAAGGTTATTTCGACATGGGCCGAAGAAATGCTTGGATGCGAGTCCGAGTGGATATGCTTTTATGGTGGAGCATGATAGCGAAAGCTATGAAAAATTCCATCAAAGTGAATAGTGGATGTCAGATGTGGGTCAAAATCGCAAGGTGGAGTTTGTTGTGTTTTGCTCTTTGTCCCACATCGGAAGTGGGATGAAGAGTAGGGGGGATTTTCCCCTATATAAGAAAGTGCTAGTTCTTATGTAAAATCATCCCACAGAGTTATTGTGTTAACAATTAATCTCTGGTTAAAAATTCCTTAGGGTGAGAGAGGGTTAACGGGTGGAAAATTCTGTGAGGTAATTTTGGGTAAGTGAGTGGTAGAAAAATTGTGTAATTTTTTTTACATAGTGGATTTTCTACGGTCTTGTTGCCCTGGTGGTTTTTTCCTCTTCGTTAACAGAGGGTTTTCCACGTTAAATTTTGTGTTCTCCAGTTTTTTATTTTCAGTAGATCTTGGGCAGAATTTTGGTGTGTTCGAAATTCCCAACATACGTTAAGGGGCTGTTGTGCAATTTCAAATTAGTGGAGGAGGTTTTTTGGAAAATAAAAGGACAAAGTCCACTTTTGGTCCTCCATGTTTAGGGGGTATCCAGACTGAGTCCCCATTATTTTTTGCTGCCCAATTTTAGTCCTTAAAACAAAAAATGTAGTCCCTATTATGTTTTGGTGCCCAATTTTAGTCCTTAAAACAAAAAATGTAGTCCCTATTATGTTTTCGTGCCCAATTTTAGTCCTTAAAACAAATAAATATAGTCCCTATTATGTTTGGGTGCCCAATTTTAGTCCTAAAAATAAAAAAATATAGTCCATATTATGTTTTGGTGCCCAATTTTAGTCCTAAAAACCAAAAAATGTAGTCCCTTAACCTCAATTTATGTGAATTAACGGTCCATTTTTGTTAACAACATCAAAGTAGTTGTGTAAAATAATTTAAAACATCGAAAAGATGTAATCAAATTTCAAAGGAACAAATTATTGACCTGATTATAAAAATCATGATACATCCATTGCATAATTATTAATTATTAAATATTAAATAATAAAATTATATATTTATATTACATACCCTGCACACAACAATCCATCCACTCGTCCGTGAGTGGGTCCGGCTCATTTTCTAGTGCCTTGCGCATTTCCCTGACGAGCCTCCTGGGTCGTCGTACGTCCGGCAGTTGGGGAACTGCTTGAAGAACTCGTTCGAGAGGTGGTTTGCGTAAATGACAATTTTGTCCATGGCCAGTGCCTCAATAATTTGTTCCTTTGAAATTTGATTACATCTTTCGATGTTTTAAATTATTTTACACAACTACTTTGATGTTATTAACAAAAATGGACCGTTAATTCACATAAATTGAGGTTAAGGGACTACATTTTTTCATTTTTAGGACTAAAATTGGGCACCAAAACATAATATGGACTACATTTTTTTATTTTTAGGACTAAAATTGGGCACCCAAACATAATAGGGACTATATTTATTTGTTTTAAGGACTAAAATTGGGCACGAAAACATAATAGGGACTACATTTTTTGTTTTAAGGACTAAAATTGGGCACCAAAATATAATAGGGACTACATTTTTTGTTTTAAGGACTAAAATTGGGCACCAAAACATAATAGGGACTATATTTTTTTGTTTTAAGGACTAAAATTGGACAACAAAAAATAATAGGGACTCAGTCTGGATACCCCTAAACATGGAGGACCAAAATGGACTTTGTCCAAAATAAAATACATCACCTATCATTATCGTTTATTTATATTTATACTTGCTCACAGCCGTACAACAGTAAGTCAGATTTTTACTTGCGCTTTAGCTGCTCAGTTGTGCCTTTGCCATTGTTGACGAGTGAGAGAGGAGGAGGAGGAGCAGCAGCATACACTCTTCACACTTCTTCCATTGTTGACAAGTGAGCTCGGTTCAGTTTTCCCGCTTCTCACTATCTCGAAAGGATCCCTTTCTTTTATCTCGATTCAATCTTCACTGCGATTCAATTGTTTGCCTTCCCGTTTCAATTCGATTTTTGCCTTCACTAGCTCAAGCTTTTTCACTATTGTCCAATAAGAAACAGAGGGAAAATTGGCGAGAAGGTTAAAAAAAAAAAAACTTGCTCGCATCCCAATTGCAGAAGGATAATTAGCTGTAAAAGAGTTTGCTTGAGAAGATTGGTGATTAAATTTATCAGGTACGGCTGCAAAGTTCGAAGCTTTGGGCATTCTTTGGCTGGGATGTTTAACCAGCTGCATCACTTTGCTCTGTTGGGGTCTCAAAAACTTTTCCCCTAATTCTTTTTCATCCGAAATTTTGATACTTTGTTTGATTTGATGTTTGTTTTGGGGGATTTTTGGCTATTTATCAGCTGGATTTATGTGTCACTATACCTGATCCAATTTCTCTTTTCTTCTCCTTTCAACATGTTATGGTCTAGGGTTTCATAATTATGATTTTTCTCGTTGTCGTTGGATAGGCGCGCGATATTTGGAATTCGGAATCTACTTTAGCTTTGGAAAATTGTCTGAAAACATAGGATTTTTCAGCTGAGGTTTTCGGCGAACCAGTCAAATTCTTTCTATTTATGTGGGCTACATTACTAGGGTTTGCTGTTTTTTGTGTATAATCTCTTTTGTAATTTTCTTTTTGCTGTTTTCTGTCCGATCTGTGGATGGAGTAGATCAGAGATCTGAAACGCATGGCTGAACTTAAGAAGATGTCTAGCCCTTCCCGCCAGGGAGATGGACTTGAAACCACCATTGACGGCCATTTTGCTTATTTTTGCAAGGTTTCTCTATTATTCTCGTCTCTATGCGCGCGCGCACACACACACACACACGAATTTTTCTGGTCTTTTCTGTTTTTTATTTTTTATTTTTCTTTTGTTTCTCTGTTATTCTTTTGTTTCTTTTCATTTTTCTTTTGTTCTTCTTTTTCTTCTATTATTATTGCTTGTTTGTCGTCCTCTTATTTCAACTCTTCGAATTAATCAGTTGAAAAGTTCCATTACTTCAAAGATTTAACATTTGACCAGAAGCTAGTTGTTATTGTCGGTTTTATTAAATTTTTTGAATCTTTATGAAGTATGTATAAACAATTAATTTGCCTTGCCACATTATCTCAGAATGATCTACTGTTGGATGATGACATTTTCTTGGCACAAGCAACCAAGCTATTTGATGAAAGCAAGAGTATTCTGTTGGCCAATATATCTGCTCTTGGAACTGGAAATGTGCGTATTTATGCTTCAGCGATTTCTACCTTTTCTGCTATTTGCTATCTTCCCACGGCCTCTCGTTTTGTCTTTATGTTATATTAATTTAATGTACAGATAGATATTCTTTGATTTTAATTTGTCAATAATTCTTATAACTTTATTGTGTTATCAGCCGGATGAAGCAGAAAAATATTGGTTTGCATTTATTCTTTACTTAGTCAGAAGGCTTAATCTGAATGGTGGCCTCACAAAGAAAGGACTTACACTATGTCAAATTTTGAGAGCAGCTAAACTCAAGTATTTTTCCACTTCTAAATTCATTTTACATCAATGTAATATTTTAGCGCATTTGAAATTATTTATCATCTTGTAATTAATCTTTCCTGCAGCATTGCTGAATTTTATAAAGAGCTTAATCAGTTTCTGGTCAAGGTTGGATCGGTTTTAGGCAACCTTTATGGTGAGGATTGGGAGAAGAAACTGGAGGTATGTGATAGAGTCAACAGTGATTGTCATATATCGCAAGACGAGTTATTCTATTATGCATGTTTTATTATGTACATTCTTATTTCATCAAATATATATCCCACACTTGTACTTTTTCGCAACAGGCAAAGGAATCACAAACCAACTTTATGCACTTGACCCTGTTGAGCCAGTAAGTTTAAGCTTCATTGTCTTGCATTTCCATAGTTTCAGCTAGTGATTACTCATCATAGTAACTAAAATTATGTTCTTGAGATTCTATATAGGCATCATTATCACTCCTAGATGGTCCAGATTATTTCTGTTGGCATGTTCAGACTGTTCTTGCATTTATCCTAATATTTTTGTATATTCCTTATAGCAATGTACAGTGTTCCTGACACTTGATTTTCTGATTGTGCATTTTTTGTTTACTGTGTCTTTCAAATTGAATTATCCACAGACATAATAAATAAGCTCTTGCTATCGTTTCAGTCTTCACCTCTCAAGAGTATTGCTGGAGCGTGTTTTTCTGCAAAAATATTTCTCAATCAAATTTCAGTATAGGATTTTGCGTTCAGATAGAGCAATTTCATGGTTATGCTGTGTACTATATGGGGTTGCTGGCGACTTGCGTAAATACAAGAAAATTGTTACTTTTGTTTGTTTATTCCAGTGGTTAATCCTAACCAGTAGTTAAGTTTATTTATACACAATGGTTAAGAGGAAATGTCGTAATGCATATGGTCACAGACTCCAATATTTTCATTGTTTAAATAAATTGTTAATTTGATCTGATGCTGAAGTTGCATTTTTAACTTTCGATATAGTCTTAATGCCTTCTTGCTGCTTTTCCTTACCAGGAAATATGAGCGTGCGTATCGAGATCTGTTCATCATAGTCGATGCGAATAATGACAAGCCTTTAAATAATGCTAGTGCCGCTGGCATCCGGTCAGATTATTACCGTTTGGGATGGCTGCTGTTTCTAGCTCTTCGTGTACACGTGTTTCGCTTCTGCAAGGACTTGGTAACATGCACTCATGGTCTAGTCTCCATATTGGTCAGTGATATTTATGCTATCAGTTTTTGACTAACTGGTGTTTCTTTATTTTTCTAGATAGAACTAGAAATCGTTTGACATAGAACAGTGCAAAACTGATTGTTCTTGTACTTCTCTTGGCAGGCGATACTCCTAATTCATGTTCCTGCTCGCTTAAGAAACTTTAATGTGAATGATCCTGAACGCATTGGTAAGTCTTGCTTCATGGTATATTTCTGTCTCTCTCTCTCTCATTAGAAAAGGTCTATGGCCATTTTATTCTACCTTTGGCACATCATCTATTTATTTGATTCACATTTATATTTTTTTTCCCCAGTTATGAAAGGTGACAAAGCTGACCTGCTGGCATCCCTTTGCAATATGTACGAGACTTCAGAAGATGAGTTGAGGAAAACTTTGGGGAAAGCAAACGATTTGGTATCTGAAATATTGAAGAAGAAACCTTGCCTGGCTTCTGATTCTAACCATGAAAACTTGAAAAATATCTTGTCAGGTTAGTCCTTCTAAGTTTGAAGTATGTAATATAGTTTCATCCTAGCATACTGGTCATTGGTGCTTATTATCAATATCGTGCTTTTTTGCAGATGGCTTGATCTATTTTGAAGATTTGATGGATGAATCATCATTATTGTCCAGTATAATTTTGCTTGAGGAAGATTACACCGCTGCTATTCAGACAAACGGTGACTTGGATGAGAGGATATTTATCAATGAGAATGACAGCTTGCTTGGTTCAGGGAGCTTATCCGGAGGTGCTTTAAAGATAGTTGGAACTGGAGCAAAGGTTTGTTTTCAAAAGCCATAAAATATTGACGAAATTTTAGAATTCTTAAAAGTCTATAACTGTGTGCGCTCATCTTGTGCTTACAATTCAGAGAAAACTCGACACAATCACCTCTCCAGCAAAGACAACTGTTACAAGCAGCCCGTTGTCTCCTTATCGCTCTCCTTTACGTCTCTCAAATGGCGGCATTGCAGCCACTCCTGTCAGCACGGCCATGACTACTGCAAAATGGCTCCGAACAGTTATTGCTCCATTGCCTTGTAATCCTTCGACCGAGCTGAAAAGATATCTGTCGTCATGCGACCGGGATGTAACTGCTGATGTGATGAGGAGGGCTCAAATAATGCTCGAGGCCATCTTTCCAAGCAGCGGGGCAGGGAAAAATGCAAGCTTGATGGACAACATATGGGCCGAACAACGTCGAATGGAGGCAATGAAGCTTTACTTCAGGGTTCTGCAGGCAATTTGCACAGCGGAATCGCAGATTTTGAACAGAAACAATTTAACGTCTTTGCTAACAAACGAGAGGTTTCACAGGTGTATGCTCGCGTGTTCTGCCGAGCTTGTTCTCGCAACTCACAAAACTGTGACGATGTTGTTTCCAACTGTCTTGGAGAGAACAGGGATAACTTCTTTTGATCTCAGTAAGGTGATTGAAAGCTTCATTAGGCATGAGGAGAGTCTTCCAAGGGAACTCAGGAGGCACCTGAATTCTCTAGAAGAACGACTTTTGGAGAGCATGGTTTGGGAAAAAGGATCTTCCATGTACAACTCCTTGACGGTAGCTAGACCAGCCCTTTCTGCCGAGATAAGTCGAAATGGCTTGTTAGCTGACCCTATGCCATCTTTGGATGCAATTGCTTTGCATGTTGAATTGTCATGTGGGGTCTTACCTCCCACGCAATCCTTGCTGAAACAAGAACTACATGGTAACAAATTATTTCGTCTTTGCCATTGTCCAAATCACGGCGAAGGTTGTTACCCTTTTAAGTAATAATCAAGTCTGAGTATGTTTGAGGTTCAGATATGTAGTTTGTTTGGACTGTGTGTACACTCTTTTGGCAAGTAATAATTACTGCACACTGATTCTTGAAATAATACTTCCAGGTCAGAATGGAGATATCCGCTCCCCAAAAAGAGTTTGCAATGAGCTTCGGAGTGTATTGGTGGAGCGGAACTCTTTCACTTCACCAGTGAAGGATCGCCGTCTGTCCATGAATAATCTGAAACCTAAGTTTCCAGCACCTGTTTTGCAGTCTGCATTTGCCAGGTATTTGCTCTTGTAGCTCAGGAGCAGGAAGGTCTATATTTTTTTGCTGTCGAGAGTTCCTTTTATTCTGTACTCCTGTTTAGTATATTTTTCTATTTGTTTTCAGTCCCACGAGGCCAAACCCAAGTGGTGGAGGGGAAACATGTGCAGAAACAGCTGTCAATGTCTTTTTCAGTAAGGTATTTGGTGAATCAACTGTCGGTCATTTTAATGTAATAGATATAGTACAGTTCTGGGTAGGGTTCAAAATATTATTTGGTCAAAGTATGCCATTGTAGATGTGTAAATCTTTTGTCAAAATTTTCTGTTGTTTCTAGTTAATACGATCTGAATTTTATTTGCTTGAGTGGGGCTGTGGACTTTTCCCCCATGATCCATTGGTCAGCCACTGTGCAAGTTGGTATCATTGAACTAAACTCTATTCTAACTACTAAGACCCACTTTCCAAGGACGATGGATCGTTTGTTTCCCAGTCCATTGTAATACGGAACCTTTTAATATTGTATTTGTCTTGCTGCACAGCATGATAATGCATCCTGTTTTTATCTCTTTGTTGGGCTTATTGATGTATTTTTATTTCTGTTAGATTTTGAAGTTAGCTGCTGTAAGAATTAACGGAATGATTGAACGACTTCAGCTTTCACAGCATATCAGAGAGACTGTCTACTGTCTCTTCCAAAAGGTCCTTGGCCAGCGCACAACTCTATTCTTCAACCGACACATCGACCAAATTATCCTCTGCTGCTTTTATGGAGTTGCTAAGGTCTCTGCTTTAAGCCTCTTCTTGATTTACAGTCGACATTCGCCTTCTCCACTTTTTTCTAACAATGATTTATGTGCTGCAGATTTCCCAACTGAGCCTGACATTCAAAGAAATAATTTTCAATTATAGAAAACAACCTCACTGCAAGCCACAAGTTTTTCGCAGCATCTATATTGATTGGACAGCTTCTCGTCGGAATGGGGTATATTATTTATCCTTTACCTTTTTTGCTTTGGTACTGTATTGATAGTCTTAATCATTTGATATCTATGAAACAGAAATCTGGTCCAGATCACGTTGATATCATCACATTTTACAATGAAGTATTTGTTCCTGCCGTAAAACCTCTTCTTGTTGAGCTCGGACCTGGTGGATCGGTACACCGTAATTCTCATGCCCCAGAGGCGAGCGGTAACATTGATGGTTAGTATTCTTAGTCAACCTACTTTTTTAGCCCGGTTTATGTTTTGATGCTGTGCATTTATTCATCTTAAAGCATTATTGCTGATTTCACTAAATAGGCGCATGTCCAGCATCACCTAGAACATCCTTATTTCCGAGTCTCCCAGACATGTCCCCAAAGAAAGTGTCTGCTGCACATAATGTTTACGTCTCTCCTTTGCGATCATCTAAGGTATGATTTGTTCAGTTTTAATGCGGCGGAACTCAACTGACAGCTTGTTATTGAGCATGAACATTAATAATTAGCTTATGGCATTTACAGATGGATGCATTAATTTCACATAGCTCCAAAAGCTTCTACGCATGTGTGGGAGAAAGTACGCATGCATATCAGAGCCCTTCAAAAGATTTGACCGCAATCAATAACCGTTTGAACGGGTAAATTTGTAAAAACCAACTAATAACAAATTCTTCTTCTACTGATCACTACTTGTGCATATAATGTTGATGACTCACTCGAGAAAACACTTTGTTTTCAGAAATCGGAAGCTGAGAGGAAGCCTCAATTTCGATGATGTTGATGTTGGCCTAGTCACGGACTCTATGGTTGCTAATAGTCTTTACATCCAGAATGGAAGCTCATCGTCACATATGCTCCCTGTAAAATCCGAGCAACCGGACTCGTGATTTATATACACACAGCTTAAAATTCCTAATGCTATGTAGATATATCTGTGGCTTTTTTTTATCTTAATTAATTTTCCGGTGATGAAATATTTTATTTTATTTTATTTTATTTTATTTTTTTTTCACACTTTTTCTAGATGACAATACAGTTTAGGGTGATGCCTTTGGGTTATGATAATGAGCGGTGAGTTATTATAGTAATGGCCCGCCACTAACCACAGGTGTAGTAGTAGTATACATGTAACTCTACGCTGGATCTATTAACTTAACTATTATCAGCTCTCTGTAATAAAACGTGTAACTTGCTGTTTAATGTTGGCTTGTTGAGTCTGTTACTTTGGAAAGAAATGGACCATTTCTGCCTTGCTAATCTTCTCTGTATCGTTCTAATTTTATCGGATGTCTCCAAAGGGACAAATGGACAACATGGGATCTTTAAATAATATTGACGCATTGTTTTTAAGATTTTGTTTCATGTTTTTTGTATTGTCAAAAGGGAATTTTGGTTGAGCGGTGATAGGTATCACGTGATAATGTGTAATTTTTTTCACGAAAAAATAATAGAGATGAAAAAAACGTAGGAAATTTCTCTAGCATAAAAAATAAAAAAAAAATAATACTACCTCCTATTTTAAATAGATGTCGTTTTGAGAAGTTGTATATTTAATCCAACATGTTTAGGTCTCAGAGGAGTCTCAAAGCACGCAAAGAAGGAAAATCAAAAGGGGTCCAACGAGTTCACAAGAAATAAGTCATGATCGCAGATAAGCGACGAATGCAACTAAATAAAACTACGCTCCTCTCTACTGGTTCAGGGTCGGCTGGTGTTGCTCCTGCTGGTTCTGAGCACGACCTAGGCAGGTACGGGCTGTATGGTCGGGCATGTGGCAATGATAACAAACGTTCCGTCCGGCTAAGCACTCTCCTCGGTGGGAGCGTCCGCAAGTGGCGCAGGCTGGCGGAACTGGCTGCGGTGGCTGGGCTACCTGAGCTGGGGCCTCTCCCCTCCGTCTGTCTCCTCTCCCGTCACGACCTCGAAATCTCCTCTTGTTCGGGTGCTGAGGCTACTGTGGGGCCCGTTGTGCTGTGGCTGCTGGCGAGCGGCAGTACGAGTACGGATGGTCTCCAGTCGGAGACTCTCATCAATCTGCTGAGCCTGAGAGACGGTCTCAGCATATGTCAGGGCGCCATGGCTAGCGAGATGGTGGCGAATCTCCCCATGAAGACCGCCCTTAAAGCGCCTCGCACTCGTCTCCTCCGTATCAATCAGGTATGGCACAAAGGAGCCACGACGAGTGAAGTCTCTCTCATACTCATCGACAGTCCTAACACCCTGCTCTAGTGCTAGGAACTGCCTCTCCATCCTCTCTCTGTAGTGGGCGGGGTAGTACTTCTGCCGGAGGAGTGTCTTGAGACCAGTCCAAGTGAGGGCTAGCTTCTCCCCGGGTTGCATATCCCAGTACGAATTCTACCAGAGACCTGCGTCCCCTATCATCTGTAGTTGTGCACATATGATCCTGTGAGGCTCGGGGCAATCCATCACCTCGAAAATCATGTCAAGACTGCGCAGCCACTCATCAACCAGCCTCGGGTCTCTCTGCCCATTGAACGTCGCAGGGTGATACCCGCGGAACTGAGAAACTGAAAAGGCCTGGTCGCGCTCTGGCGCGGCCGGCGGGGGCGGTGCTGCACGCGGAGCTGGTTCGGGCGAGGCCCGTGCTGGAATGGTCAAATGACAGGGATTAGAAGGAAGCATTGAATAATTGACGGAGAATCATTTACTCAGAAAAGTTAACAGAAAAACTCAAAGTTAACAATTCTTGCTGAAATTCTGACTGGAACAGTATAACCGATTAATAAATGGCTACACTATACTTTAATAATTTATCGGGTTCTGAAAACACCTAGCTTGGCTAGAGTTCCAGTTACACTAAAATCTTCTGAGTTCTGACTAGAGTTCTGATGAGAAATCTCAAATCTTAAATCGAAGGATAGATCGTACGCCCATGAAATATTCTGACTATAATTAAATATGCATTCGCAAATAATAAAGGCTACTCAGGTGACGTACCTCGGAGTCGGCGTGGCGTGAGCGTGGTGTGGTCATATCTCTTACTAAAATTTCAGTATACAGAACCACTAAGTGTCTCTGATACCAACTGTAACGGCCTTGCTAGACTTACTAAAATCAAAGTAAATTTTTCGCGCTATAAATGGAAAGCATTAATTTAATTTTTGAAAACTCTTATTAATTTTTCAAAAATATCTAAACTTTAATATGCGGGATGCTACTCAACTTTAATCGTAAATCTTTAATCTTTAATATCTTTAAACTACTAGGCATGCAACCGAGTATAAATCATTTTCTCTAAACGACTCAGGATTTAAGCATGCATAGTCTAAAATTCTAGATACTGAAATATTGAGTGCGGAAGCGATTGAAAGCATGCATTAACAAAGTATAATAACTCAAACTTGTTTACTAAAAACTATCCTTGCTATGACCACCACCACATCATTGGCTCACGCTCCACGCTCGACACCATCACTTGAAAAATGATTAGTGGGGGGCGTGAGCATAAAAGAATCAACGATGCTCCGCAGAAACCAACACTGAATATACAGCTAATATAATAATATATCATGACGTCGGTATACATACAAGTACTACTGAATAGGCAAAAATGATATGATGATGACCATTTTACTAACTGATTAAGCATTCATTCAATTAATACTTAAATCGAAAAAGTATCTATAGCTGCTACTGAACTGACTGCCTATAAGTGTCGTATAGCTGACTGTCTACAATAGATGCTCGACTGACTAACTATAATGGCTGCTCAACTGACTAACTATAAATATTGCTCGACTGACTAACTATCTACAACCTCGCAAACTAAACATATCTCTGGTATGATAAGCACATCGCAAACCTAAGTATACATCTAATTAGATAAAAACACATCACAAAGTTGTATAAATAAGTATACAGTCTATAACGACTGCTCAACTGCTATCTATAATTACTGCTCAACTGCCTATCTATAATTGCTGCTCAACTGACTGATTAACTGGCGAGAAGGACACTTGGTCTTCATGCTCGCGATAAGCAACTGTAGGACCTAATATGTAGGTCGTTGCCCATACTAGGACAAAACTAACTTTTATGCACTACTAAGGTTGGAGCTTAACTCATAACTGCACTAGAGTCCTTGATACTAACTGGAATTCGAAACACTTGATTATGACGAAACCTATCTCTAGGTCAAAGTCCTTTAGGGAAAAATTATTCTAACCTCGTCTAAAATTAAACTTAACGAAAGGCTGCTCTAAGGTTCTTAATTCACTTGACTCAAAGCTGCACTAGAATTCTTTTCTCATCTTAACTAGCGTTCGGATCACTTAGCTAGAAGGGATCTACTCGCTAGATAATTGCCCCTATTTTGGCGGACTCTTACATACATACCTCAGCTAGCATATTGCGATTATATAAAATGTAGTACCCAGTATAGGGTCCCCACCTGATATACTGAAATGCAAGTGCTGAATGGTTTGCAACTGTTGGAGGCTCGACTCTCCACAAGCTACAAAATATATAAGTGTTTGTCCCATTTTTGTGTCTTTATTTTTGGTTTATTTTCTCTTAATTTTTCCCCAATTATAGGATTTTCGTAGTTTATTTGGTCCAATTCTATGATTTTTCCATTTTTCTCTTTAGTTCGTTTTGTGCGTCTTTTGCTATGTTTTGCTTCGTGTTTGTGTTTTTAGGAGGTAGGTTGTGTCGATCGAGGACGGGACTGCTAGAGCTGAGACCGGGATATCACGAATACCCATTGATGTGCTCAGAATACTGAAGGAAGGACCGAAAAAATGGACCGAATAGCTGCCCAGAGCTTCTCGCGACTCGCGAGTCAGTGTCGCGACTCGCGAGAAGGTCACGACTCGCGAGTCCAACAGAGACGAAAAGATGGATTTCACGACACAAGTCGCGACTCGCGAGTCCTTGTCGCGACTAATGAGTTCAGTTGCGAGTTTCCCCAGACTTTCATCATTTTTCGAAGACGCGCAACTCGCGAGATATCGCGACTCGCGACTCGAAAAAAGTGAAAGTCGCGACTCACGACTTAAATCACGACTCGCGACTTGCTCGGCACGAATTTCGAGGTCGGGATTTAACACCAGAATTTCGACCTAGACATCATAATTCACGTTCCAGACTTTGTTTTTACACTTTTTCTCTCTAGAAACTCATTCCTTTTCATGCTTTTGCACTTTAGATTGGATTTTGGAGATCAAAACTCTATTTTCCTTGCTTTAGATTGGATGTTTTTGGATTCAACATTGAACTATCGATATTAATCATAAGTTTTCTTTTCTCAATTGTGTGATTGATGATGATGGCTTGGGTTCTTATGAGTCTTGATGTTGAATTCCATATGAGTAGCTAAATCCATACGCTAGGGATAGGAGATGATTGATTAGGTTCGATAATAATTGTTTGTTCTTAATTGTTCATATCTATTCAAGTTGTGCTTATTCTAGGGTTAGTAGATTGATCACCTTTCTAACCTAAATAATCAACGTGTAGAACCACGAGGGGAGACGTTGGTCGATATTTGCTTGTTTAGAGTAGACTTGTTCGTAATAGTATTGTCTATGAGTTGTTGGAATTGATAGTTAAACGTTTACGTTCACTCTTTTGTTACGAAGAGTTATTGAGAGTGAACCTCTGGACGAGAAACGATTCAAGTCCTTTAACCGAGCAATTGATTGCCGGTAGTTGTGTTAGAACCGAAAGCAATTATCCCCGATTCCCCAGCTCTTTAATCATTTGAGTTCAATCACTTGCTATTTAATTTGTTGCAGTAGTTTTAGGTCTTTAACTGATAGTTAAAACCCCAAAAATTATTGAATAGAGTGTTTAGGAATTTTTCTTTTCTTTCTCGTGATTGAGTAATCGTACAATTGAATCCGGCTAACCTTCCTTGCAATACGAC